AAATATTTGACAATTGTCCTAATTAATAGGTAACGTTGTAAAAGACCATTATTGGATTTACTCATTCCATTGGTAGATTGCATTCACTATATAGACCTGTAATGTACTGGACAATAATTGTCAGTAGTATGTTTATTGTGTGTATATTCTAACCAGTCACACACTTTTGATTTATTTTACTATTTAATACATAGTGTTAATTGTGTTCTAAACATTAATTGTGTTTTAGTATTTTGAATAGTGAGTTTGCCTTTTTAATATTGCACATCTCCAAATATCCCTATGCACACGGGTTGGGGTCAAAGTTTGCATGTCACGGCATTTTATAGAGTGCCATTTATGATGGTTTTAAGTGTTTGTTATCTGAGCTAATAACTTTTATTTTACCCTTCATTTCTGATTTAGTGACAGTTCAGGCTAAAGGAGATTAAATATCAGATATACAGGGATTCTGAAAAATAAGCTGCAAAATGAACCAAAGTGTTATTAGTATTCACATGAACATCACTTTGCACTACAACTTGTCAGAGTGTAAATCAGACTGATGTCGCTAATTCACATACACATCTTGAGTATAAATACTTTTGTAACACATCTGATTTTTTTGTGTAACTGAGGTTAACAGAAATTAATTTAAAAAAATGGAATAATGTAAGAATCTATAACAACATTAATCTACAAGAATATGAGGAAGCAATTCCAAATTTATTAAAGTAATTTATCAGTGAATATACTAACAGTATACTAATGAACTTGTTTTAAGATGATACACCATTTTTCTAAGGGATTTCAGGAAAAATTGCTAAATCATTCTTTTTAAAGGGTTACAAAGTAGAATTCATTCCAGAAAACAAAATTGTCAACCATTTACAAAGACTCAAAGATCCTAAAAAAATTGAAGATAAAGATGGAATTTACCAAATCAGTTATAGTTGCAGTAGCAGTAAAAAATGTACATAGGTAAAACGAGAAGGAAATTTAAAATGGTTCTCGTGCTTTTGATGGCTCCGGCTGGGAACAGTTCGTTTTTGCCATCTATGTGTGTGTGTGAATACTTGTGCTGTCATTCTAATATCTAAATGTGCACGACTCCGTGATGGAGAAGGTGCGTTAGCTATAATTCTGAACTTACTATGTGTAGCTACACAAAATGTAGCAAGCTTTTAATAAAATGTACAAGTCTGTCGCTTATTTTTTTAACAAATCATTTAATTCTTTCTTGAGTTAAACAGAAATAAGTATTTACCTTAGAACTGAAGAGTTTGGCACCACAGAGGGGCCACTTGCGTGCACAGTTTAGATAAATCCGGACACAATCTAGTACAGTTCTGCCTTTTAGCGTCACCCACTTGTCTCTGATAGTTTCCTGTAATTGCCTGGGTAAGAGGCAGAAATAGTTTAGTATATATGGAGCTATGTATTACAGAGCTTTCAACAAAATTAAGAAGTATACAGATACACAAATAGAAATAAAGAGTTGAAATGACTGCCACTTTTCATGGAAACTTGTTTCTAATACTGCTAAGCTACTTTAAAGGTGTATAGTAAGAAAAATCAAAAGACAGAATAGGAGAAAATTTATGAGCTATACAGATGAATTCCCAAAGGGGTGTATCAACAAGCAGATAGGTACACTGATAAATTAATGTGCACATAGAACGTAAAGAAATAGATACATATATATATATATAAGGCTCTCAATCAACGTGCTCCTGATACCTGAAAGGCATGTGGGAACATGTTTGTCACATGTAAAAAAAACAATACAATTTGTGGATATCAATTGCACTATGAATACTAAGAAGGAAGTGAGGAATTTTCCTAGGTTATAGTTGTAAGCTTTGTATGCCGAAACGATAGGCTGTAAGGGGGAAATCAAATTTGTTAGTTTTTGGGAGACCATAAGTTTGAGTGAGAAATACCGGAATCTGAGGGACGAAGAAACTGTATTAATTCCTTTGCTCTGGATGTGGTTAAGTTAGTTTCTATTTTATGTTAATGAGATGAGTCATCAAGGGGCGTGTGCATCTTTTGTTGGTATACTATCTGATCCATGATAAAAACAACCCTACCTTTGTCAGATTTCACTAAAATTATACTTTCACCACTTTTTAACAGTTTTAATGCTTTATGTTCTTTTGGAGAAAGGTTTAGAAGATGTGAAATATATGAATGAAAAGCATGAAGAATGGGTAAAATTTGATTATTTTCTGGAATTTGAGGAAAAGACAGAATGGGTATCTGCAGTTTTCAGAGGAGAGTGTTTGGGTTATTTAACAAAAGATTTTGATTAGTTGTGCTTTAACACATGATTTAAAAATTTTTAACCTAGGTTTTAGAATTTCAAGCGACATGAGAAGAAGTGGGTTTATTTGTTGAGCTAAAACGTTCCTCAACAGCTATTTTTCTAGCAAAGCCTTCTGGAGTTCAAGTGTAGGGAGAGATCTGGGTGTAACAGAATAATTGAAACTTTTTTCCAGGAACTGAATGTCATCAGTGGACAACTGGCAGCTGGAAAGGTTAAAAACGAGTTGTTTTTTACAATGTAGTGGAAGGGAACTAGGCCTCTTTACACGAAAAGATATGGATTTTTTTCTTGTGTCTTTTTAGTCTTTTAGATTTGTTAGAATGCATGTCAGTTACTATTATTTTATGATTGATGACATTATTATTAATAAGTTGAAAAACTCTTAACCAGTAGAAACCACAAACTTTCAACTTGTAAGTTGAAGAGTGAGTTTTAATT